CTGCTTGTAGTAATTTCTTCAGACTCAAAAGGATATGAGATAATTATCCAAAAGCTTCTGTGTTTTGATGACTGTTCTTTGGAAGTTTATGCCCACAAGAAAACATGCAAAAAATTGTGAATAATTTTGCAGTTTTAGAATTGAAACAGCAGTGATCTTAAGAAATACAAGGTTATATTTTAACCTGCACTGAGAGAATTATAAACAGAAAAAAATGTTCTTTTAGCCAGCAAACCAGAAGTGAAAAAACTTTAACAAATTTAAGTGGGTGGCTAAGTGTTCAGTAATGTGCTCAAAAATACATAAAAATCACATCAACTTCAGCAAATTTTTCACAAGACTAATAAACAGAACAAGTTGCTCGTATTATCCAACTCCAGTGGTAGTATTCAATTTGCTTTGATTGAAGTTAACTCAGATATACTTTTGTAATTGCCTACAGGTCAGTCAGTCAGCAAGCATTTTCAAAGCACCTAGTATATGCTAGATACTGTGCTAAACACTAAAGATACAAAAAAATTCAGACCCTGCTAGAAAGACAACAAAGATACAAAAAAATTCAGACCCTGCTAGAAAGACAACATGTAAACAACTATGTACATACTATACATTTGTGTATATTTTATATACACATACGTGTGGGGTGTATATATGTGTGTATGTGTGTATGTACATACTTTGTACATCATGCTTTGTCAAATCTCAATCTTCTGTTATTCCCACCGTCTACATCCTTTGCTTCTCTTCACATGCTGGTAAAATGGAGCTAGAGGAAATTACAAAACCATTCTAACTGGGTCAACTACGAATTAATGTTTCATAACTTAAACTGAGTCCTTACTGTAGCAAGGCAATCCTTCTATACCTCCCTAATCAATTTGCTTTTTCACTTAAGCACAGCAGCTGTTATAAATGGTCTTGTCTCTCCTCAGGCTGTTTCCCTTTCCCCCAAAAACCTTCTCCCTACCCTTTCACCTGAGGATCTCACCTTTTACTTCACTGAAAAATTGTGGCCATTCCCAGTATGCTCCATCTGCTGCCTCCTCATCTTATATTACTCAGTTGTCTTCCTCCCCTAAATCCTCCTTCACTCCTGTTTTCACATGAAGAGGTAGCACTTCTTGCTAAGGCAAACTCCTCCAGATATACACTTTATTTCACCCCTCTTATCTTCACCATCAAATTGCCTTTTTTTTATCATCCCCAATCCCTTGATTTTTATTTTCTTATCAACTCCTTCCTTGATGCCTACAAATATATTCATGTCTCCCTCATCCTAAAAAAAAACCCTCTCATTTGATCTAGCCCTCTCTACCTCCATCTTATTATCATGCTGTATCTCTCCTCTCCTTCCTGGCTAAACCTGAGGAAGCTTTCTATACTTGGTACAGCTACTTCCTCTCCACTCGTGCTCTTGACTCTGTGCAGTCTGACTTCTGACCTCGTAATTTAACTGAAACTACATTCTCTAAAGTAATTATGGATCTCTTAACCACCAAATATAATGTCTGTTTCCTAGTCCTTCTCCTCCTTGATCTCTCTGCAATCTTTGACACTGCTTGTGATACTGTTTTCTTCTGATTTTCCTACCACCTGTCTCATCACCCTTCTCAGTCTCCTTTGTTGGATATTCATCCAGACTATGTCCACTAACTATGAGTGTCCCCTAAGGTTCTGTCCTGGTCCTCTTTCCCTTTTCCCTCTGTATAACTTGGTATTCTCATCAGATCCTTTGGGTTCAGTTGTCATCTTTACAAAGAAGATTCCCAGATCCATTTATCTAGCCCTTCAGCTAAGCTAAAGTCTCACTTCATCAACTGACTATTGGACATTTTGAATTGTATGTCCCTTAGGCATCTCAAACTGAGTATGTCCGTAACAGAACTCATTAGCTTTCCTTTTAATGCTCTCATGTTCCCAACTTTCTTATCACCATTTCCCTAGTTACCCATGCTTACAACCACAGTGTCATCCTTCACTGCTCACACACACATACACATCTCACAAATCTAAGCTATTCTCAAGTATGGTTGTTTCTACCTTTATAACATCTCATATATGTTCCTTTTTCTCCCCACACTGCCACCTCCCTGATGCAGGTCCCTTATTGCCTCATGCATGGACAATTGCAATAGACTTCTGATTGGTTTTCATGCCTCAGGTCTCTTTCCACTTCAACCCATCATTCAGTCAGCTGCCAAGATAATTTTTCTAAAGTATAAGTTTGATCATATCACTCTCCTACTCAATAAACTTAAATAGTTCCATATTCCCTCCAGGATCAAATATAAAAACCTTTGTTTGGCATTTAAAGCCCTTCACAACCTGCCTCCTTCCCACCTTTCCAGTGTTCTTACATTTTACTCCTTCTATATATTCTATGATCCAGCTACACCAGTCTACTTTTGGTTCCTGATATGACATTTCATCTCCCTACTCCATGCTTTTTCACTGTCCCCTGTCATGAAATGTTTGCCATCCTCATCTCTGGCCTCCCTGGCCCCCTTTAAGACAGTTCAGATATTAACCTCTTCCAGAGGCCTTTCATCATGTTTCTCCCCATCTCCAGCCAATTCCCGCTGCGATTACCTGCAATGCATGCTGTAAATATCTTATATGTACATATTTTGCATATTATCTCATTAGAATGTGCATTCTTTTCTTTGTATCCCTAGGACTTAGCACAGTTCCTGACACATGGTAAGAACTGAATAAATACTTGTTGATTGAGTCTTCTGCAATAGTTCTATAAAATGAGGATAATAGTGCCTACCTCCCTGAGTTACATATGTAAAACATTTTGCCAACCTTAAAGTGCGGTCTAAATGGCAGCAATTATTATAGTGAATTTGTTAGGTATATACTGTACATTAAAAAGCAGGATGAGAACACTCAAAATGAAGTCTTTCCATTAGTATAAGTATGGTGTTTTCCAACTTGCATTTTAATTGACTGAGGTTAGCAGTTTCTGTCATATTTTAAAAGAGTATTCCCTTGTCTGATTCACATCATAACCTTCCTGTACTTAGAGATACAGTAGATACTGTACTATCTTGAAAGTCAGGAAGACTTTTGTTTAAACCCTGCCACTGACATGCTGTATGACCATGTATATAAGTCATTGAACTTTTCTGAGCCCTAGTTTCTTTATCTGTAAAATGGATATGATACCTATGGTCCTGCCTCACAGGGTTGTTTAAGAGTGGTGCAGATGAGATATACAAAGAGTTTCACCAACTTTAAACACTTTCTAAATTTCAGCCATTATTTTGCAAGCAATCCAAACTCTTATTAAAAATGAAACTGATCATCTTATTTCTCCTCCAAACTTCCTAAAGTTGTTCCCCCCTTCAAACTTCTCTTTTTGTGTTGAGGACTCAAACATATTTCCAGGCATCCAAATTCAAAACTTTGGAGTAATCTTTGGGTCTTTTCTTTCCCTTTCCCTGCACAGCCAGTTGATTACCACATTTCATTATACATCTCTGTGGTTGCATTCTTCCTATTCACACATCTCCTACCCTAGGATAGTTATCACTTCTTGCTTGTACTAATATAATAGCATCCTAATTTAGATCTTCCTGGTTTCTGTCTGCCTTCTGTAATTCATCTACCACACAACTGCCAAATTAGTCTTCTAAGGCACCAATGGGACCATGTCCATGCCCTGCTCAAATCTTCAACCACAACCCTATCTACTTTCTCAGAAATATCATATTACTCCCCTTCAAAGTTTTATATTTCACTCCAAAAGGGCTAGTAGCTGTTCCCTAAAATTGATATCCGATACCCTGCCTTTGCACATGCTGTGCCACATTATATGGAATATACCTTTTCATCTCTGCTTTTTAGAAGTCACTAACATCCTTTAAGGCTGAAGCTCAGGTACCATTTCCTACAGTAAACCTTTCCTGATTTCCTTTGTTAGTGCTTTCACTTCCAATTACTTTATCTATATTTCTGTGTATATGGTATAATTACGTAGTACAATGTAAGCTTCTTGAAGGGAGGATCTGTTCATTGTTTTGTTTGATTATGAGAATATTTCACCATCTAGTGGCTGTGTCCTGTTTTAATCATGTGATATGACTGCAAACAAGTAGATAACAAGAAGAAATATTGTAACGCTGTGAAATGGGGAGGCACAAACCACTTAGAAAAGTAGCGATCAGATTGGAATAGCCCTGATAACATATGTAAATATTTGTGAAAGGTCTTTGAATCTAACTATAAAATAAAATTTAAAAAAAAGTTGTTACGACTTGCTGTTTTCCCAAACATTGTCCCATACTTTCTTTCTAATTCTGTTGCCTTTCATGTTCTTTTCCTGGTTTGGAATGCTGTCCAGTTCTCATCATTGCATATTGACATACTGAGTGTTCTTTAAAACCCAGATACTGTGTTATATCTTTACACGACCTGCTGGAAGGGATTGTTTCTGCCTCTGAATCCTTATAATTTTGTGAGCACCTGAAATTGTACCACTCTTAAATATCTGAACTAGATTGTAAGGTCCTTGAGGTCAGGGATCATGCATTATCTAAAATTTGTTTCTGTCCTAGATCCAAATGTGTAATAAATTGTTTCTTTAAATTTTAATTTGCGTTTGTTGAATTTGAATCTCCATCAGTACCTTGTATCATGCTAGAAGCTTAATATTTATTTAGTCAAACTCAATGAATAAATGGAACTACAAATGGTAACAGTGACCATAGTTACAAACCAAAAAATGGTTTTCACAAAAACACAATGTGGAAAGGGCTATTAAAATATGTTTATCTTTATAGTGACATCCCATGTATTGATAACTATACTACGCTGTAAAAAGTGTCATTCTTGACAAAACATAGTGTGCAAACTTAACCTGAACAGTCATATTCAGTTTTTATAATATAATTATTATTTTAAAATTAGTGTAGTAGCATATATTTATGATAACTAGAAATTTTATGTGCTTTTTCCTTGAACTAAAAACAGTAAAGCCTAAATTTTTTTTCCAGCCAGAAGATCTTGCTCAGAAGCTCCCAAACCTTGTGGAATTGTAAGTGTTAACTTTCTTTAAAAAAAAAAAAAAATATATATATATATATATATATATCGTATAAATAGTCATAAGTTACTTTTAGTAATAGAATATATCACTTTAATTAATGATTTTTAATGACATAGTGTTTTGATTTCTAGTTCTGATGGACCTTAAAGTAAATTCTCTTTTCAAATGTATTTTCTTTGTTTAACCGCAGACTCATGAAATTTGGCTTCTAAAAGAATCTTGAGGTTTCCTATGGCTAGAGAAAATAGGTATTATTTCTAGGGCAAGGTATCTCTTAGACTTGTAGGAGTGGGAAACCTGCAGCCTCAAGGCCACACATGGCCTTCTAGGTCCTCGTATAGCCTTTTGACCAAGTCCAAGCTTTATAGAACAAATCCTTTTATTAAAAGAATTTGTTCTGTGGAGTTTGGATTTGGTCAAAGACCCTCACTTGAGGACCTAGAGGGCCACATATGGCCTCAAGGCCGCAGTTTCCCCACCCCTGTTTGGAGTATCTGTTATGTTTTTGTTATATAACCTAAGTTGGGACCTTATTTTTTGCCTCTCTAACCTACTCTACTCTTATTGATGTTGATATCTTTTCTTTTCTCCTTTTCTCTAAAACCTGCAGAATTGAAGAGATGTTCTAGTTTCCCATACATTGAGACAATTAGGACCATCCAGTACGAATTCCCTCAGCTCTCCCTCCATTTTTCAAAACTTCTCAGCATCTTCACATCCCTTTCTTTTCCTTCTCTCTGATTACAAAAGAAAATAAACTTATGCTCCACTAGGGTACCCCTGTTGCTATCCTTGATTCCCTTTTCCTCTGACTCCTCCAGAACCTAGCTCCAGCATATCTCTCTCATATATCGTCAATCACTGGCTCCTTCTCATCTGCCTATAAATATGTTCAAGATTCTTAGTCTTCAAAAATGAAAAAAAAAAACCTTCCTTTGACCTTTCTAGCTCTTCTGTTTAACACATTTTTATTTTGCCAATTATTACTGAATTTCTCAAAAATAATATCTATATCCAATGCTTCCAAATTCTCACTATTAATTCTTAACCCTTTTCTCACTGGCTTTTGTTCCTACATTGAATTAAAACATTTTGTGATTACAATTAGAGATTTTGAGTTCAAAGACACTTTAAATGTCATTTAATCCAAGAGTTCTCAGCCTGGAATCTGTGAACCCTGCCTATTGTGTATTTCAGGGATGTCTTTAAACTTGAATGGGAAAAATTTTTAATTTTTATTTTCAGTAACCTTTATTGAAGGAAATTTAATATTTCCCTCAATTGTTTAAAAGCATTATTCTGAGAAAAGGTTCATAGTCTTCACCAGACTGTCAAAAGATTCTAGGATACAAAAAAAGGTTAAGAATCCCAGATTTAATTTGACCCCTTCACTATATAGATGATGTACTGAGAGGGCAAATAACTTGCCCATAGTCATACAGGTTACTATAAATAGCAGAGCTGGGATTCAGATGTAGGGCCTTTGCATCAAAGCCTTACCTCTCTGCTGAGATTCAATGTTACATCATCAGCTGCCTGCTGAACATCTCCACATCTCAAACTTAGCATTTCCAAAAAAAAGAAAGAACTAATTTCTTTTCCCTCAAACCCACTCCTCCTAACATTCTGTTTCTATTAAATGTGCCACTGTCTTTTCAGTAACACAGATTTATAACCTTGGAGTCGTCCTTGAATCTTCACTCTCAGCCTCCAGATCCAGTCAGTTGCCACATCTTGTAGATTCTGTCTCCACAGTATTTTTCATGTTAGTCACCTTCTCTCCAGCTATATGGTCACAAATGTTAAAAAAAAAAAAAAAGAAAGGAAATAGATGGGGAGAAAGTTTGGCTTACCCTGTTGTTCACTTTGTAAGTTTTGGAGCCTTTTCTCTTAGAAATCGGTGCTGGCTTTCATGGCCTTGCCTGGACTCTGACTTTCACAGAGCCCAGGGCTTCATTCCTCTACACAGGTAGCCATTACCTCATAAGGGGCTTCATAGCAAAACAAAGAACAAAGGTGTCATTGAGTTTGTTCATGGCCTGATTTTCTGAGTTAACTCTTAATCATCCTGATCTACTCTGCATTATAATATAGTTGTTAAAATTTGCTTGGGACTTTTTGTGCAGTACTTTCTAACTGGGTGTGTTTTGCATCTTTAAGACTGACTAAAAGCATTTACTGGGGGCTAGAATTAACCCTAACACATAGTCATAGTGAGAAACATTTTGTATATTAGGCTGGGGAGTTTGTATTTTATCCCATAGTCAATAGGGAACTACGGAAGACTTTTTGGGCAGGGGAATGACATGGTTAGATCTGTTTTGGCAGATCTATGTAGAAAGGGTTATTGAGGGAAGCGTGTAGATTTATTAGGAGGCTAATACTTTGGTCAAGAAGTTATGAGGGCTGAAACTAGTTTAGTGAATTTGTGAATGGAAAGGAGATAGTTTTGAGAGATGTTAACAGAAGTAGAATCAACGAGAATTGGCAACTATTTGAGAAGGGAGGGCAAAGGAAGAGTCAAGGCTAACTCTAACATTGTGACCGTGGCACCTGGAAAGATGTTGATAGACCCAGTAGAAGTAGAGAAATCTGGAGAAGTGGGTTTGGGATGATAGAATAACGAGTTCCATTTAAAACATGTTGAATTTGAAACGTCACTTTACCTGTTGAGTTCCCTCCCATTCTTTAATGCCCGACTCAGATATTCCCTCTTCCTTGAAGCCTTCCCTGACTCCCTCTGGTCAGTAATGATTTCTTCTTAAGTAAGCCTCCCCTCACCAAAAAAACAAAAACACGAAAAAAACAACCCCCAACACAAAAGTGCTACACAATTGCTTAATGCATTTAACATGCAATTTTAAAAAAATTAACTATCCAGATTTTTGTTTTATCCTCCTACTAGGCTATAAGCTTCATGAAGGGAGTAACTGTTTCCATTTTGGACTGACCTTGGGCAAGTCACTTAACTTATCTTTGCCTCAGCTTCTTCTTCTGTAAATGAGAGAATTGGGCTAACTAGACTATAAGGTCTCTTACAACTCTGTGTTGTGATCCAAGAAAGAACTTTGAGGGCTAGAACTGTTTCACTTTTTTTTTTAATCTTCAGCTCCCAGCACAGTAACATTAGTAATTGCTTAATAAATATTTGTTAAAGAGGGTCAGGGACTATCTGATCTAAATTTTTTTGTCTACCCTAGTACCTATGCACAGGACTTCACACACAGTGTGAGCCTAATAAATGTTGAATGAATGAGTAAATTTGAGATATCCTGAAACAAATTGGCATTTTCCCTGAAATACGGTATTCTGTTTCCTATGTCAGTTGATTTGGTTGCTTTTTTTATAGCCACAATACTATAATATCTATAGCATTAACTTTTAATTTTGTAGATTCTAACAAATTTAATTCAACAAGCAACCATAACACAAAATAGAATGTTTTTTTGCTGAATTGAATTTGTTATTAAACAACACAACTTTATAATATTTTCCAAAATTATAATGCTGAGATTGGATAAATGTTAACACCACTATAAAGCATTCTTATAATTACAGTTTTAAAGAAAAAGTATAGATGTACTTACAGACGTGGAAGAAAACAACATAAAATATAACACAAAAACTTATTAACAGTCTAATTACATTGTTTTAGTTGACTACATGGATAAAATAATCCACTTATGTATCTCCTAGTTTGGGCATTTCATGTTGATTACATTCAGAAAACAGAGTTATGATACCATTATTAATGTAGAAGCTTTCCTTTATCTTTTTTTCACTGATCAAAATGAGCTTCTCTATTATTCTGTGCTAGATTTCCCATTACTGTTTTGGCTCCTGAATTCTGTGTAAACTCTTTGTGGGTTCAGTGTGGGACCTTGAATTGCTCTTTCACATGTGATTGAGGCAGACTACATTTTTAACCGACATTTCTCCAGGCAAAATTCATGGCTTCATAGGTCCAATTTCCAGGGCATCTCTAATCTCTGTTCCTGAAAAGATGGGAAAACTTCCTTAAATATGTTGCCATTTTTACCACCTGGGCTGCTTTTCCTGTTAATTACCAGCTCCTATTGAGAACCCTGACTCAGAATCTCCTATAACTACTGAGAAAATTAGCACCTTGTATGTGGTCCCTAGGTAATTGGAAAACCCCTAGTTTTTCTATCTGCTGTTGAAGAATCAGGGGCTACTGGTTTCAGATCTGGATCAGTTAGTGCCTTCCAAATGTTTGGAAATTTTCTACTTCTGTTTAATGTTTATTATGGTTCTTTTCTGTTGTCTAGCCCAACCTCAGGAATTCTTTGTTAGCTTTTAATTCAACTTCAAATCTATGCTAAGCTGATTCAAATTGTCATTGCATTCCTTCTAATTGGAGAAGCAGCAATGCTTAGTGTTTGGAGACTAACTTCAAGTCAGGAAGACTGAGGTTTTTGACCCTGGACAAGTCAGTTTATCTTTTAGTGCTCTTGGCAACTCTGACCATAGGTTGTAGAAGAGGTACCAGTCTTCATGGGTAGAGGGTGTTTCTTCACTAGAAGATCCCTACAACAATGAAATCACAGGACAGAGTTATGAAAAAAAATACTGGAAACTTTTCTCTCTGTTTTAATTTAATAGCTCACTTTCTTGTGTCTGCATATGTGTGTGTATAAAATATATATGAATATATACATACACACATGTATATCCATATATACAGACAGCTTCCTAACCCCAGACTTTTCAGTTTTCAAGTCTTGTTTCATTTGTTCTATTTGTGTTTTTTGTTTCTCCTTTTCTCTCTATTTGTATCTCTTGCAAATTGGCACACTCTTCTCTTTGTTGGGCTGATCTTTCATATCTAAATATTCAGTCCATAGTGACCAAATTCCACATTTTTTTGGTTTGTTTTTGCTTGTTCGTGAGGCAGTCGGGGTTAAGTGACTTGCCCAGGGTCACACAGCTAGTAAGTGTCAAGTGTCTGAAGCCGGATTTGAACTCAG